CTTTGCGGTTTGGTTTTGTTTGTTTGTGGCTCTGCTCAGCTGTACGCTCGAAATCGCTTCCGACGTCTATGCAAAAGAGCGAAGTCCCAGCAGTGATGCTCTTCCCCCCCCCCCCTAATGCAACACGGATGTCCGTTGCTTTGCAAGCTTCTGTGTCTGCAAACCGTGTTCAGGGATGAAGCTGACTAGTTTCCCAGTTAGCAAGAGTAGGGAATCTAATCATTGCTAATAGTACCAAGGCAGAGGATGGTGGTTAGTTGGGATTAATGAAGCCACATTGAAAGGATGTGACTTGTAGGACAGTCTAATAGCTGTACTTGACACATGTAAAGGGGCTTTATAAAACCAGACTCCGTTTTTAATTCATGAGCTTGTCTTTGCTCATACAGCAACTCTTTTTGTTATGTTGCATACCACTCTTCCAAGAGTTCAGGTAGTACCCATGGGAACTTTCATTCTTTTCCAGACCATGGACTAATGAACGTTCAAATAGCCTTCTCGATAAAGCTACATTATATGTCTAAAAACTAGAGATGTGCAACACACCTACCCCAATAAATTTTGTAAGGGAAATTCTCTTTATGTCCGTCCAGTTTTGTTTCAGGTGACATTTCAGTTGTAACTTTACTGAAGACCAGTGACTGGGTCTGTAGAAGGACAACGTGGGAAATGAAGGAATATAGTTTTCCCCCCAAGCTTCCCAATATTTTTTTTATTTGTGTTACTGATTTCTAGCCCACCCTTCCCTGCACAGCAGGGCTCAGGGTGGGTTACATCATAAGAAAGAGTTAAAAAAATAATTTTACAATATTAAAAGAAACAGTTAATCAGTATTAGCACATAGTAAAACATTATGGGTGGTAACAATCAGGAGAGGACAGGTAAGAGGGAAATGGAAACCACAAGGACAGAAGTCAATGCACTTAAGATCATCGTATCCCTGATCATATGCCTTGTGGAATGTCTCTGGACCATTTCCTTTAGAGGGGGGAAAAGTACTTGGGGCACAGGGAAATCCCCCCCCCCATTTTATTCTGGGCTTTGACATCTCTAATAACTACAGCAGCCGTTCTCAAAGTTGAGCAACCGAAGCCGCCCCCCCCCCATTCTTATGAAACAGCCCCCTGTATGTGTGTTCTCTGTGGAAGGAAAGATGCAGCTACACTTTAAAAGCAAGTTTAAGAAAAATATTTTTTGGTTATTGGTACATGGCCTGTAAGGTCATGGCTTAGTGTACAGTTGATTCTATAAAGCCACATCGCAAAGGCCCTGACCCAAGTTGTAATCAATCCCCCCTCCCCTTGGAAGGGTCTTTGAGTTGGAGACATCAACAAACCTCCTTATTGGTTAACTTATAGATAGAAGTCAGCTGAACAGGGGTGAGAAGGGCCTGGAGAAACTTGCAAAGCAGTTAACAGAAAACACCATCATACAAAATCTGAACTTTCCATTTTCAGTTGAATGTTCATTCTCTTTCTTCCCCCCTCCCCCTGCTGAAATCCTTGCACTGGAGAGTGAAAATCAGTACATTATATTTACTTCAGACATTAAAACTGTCTGCAAAATATAGGAGTCAGTGAGATCTTCTAGGGACTAGACAAGAAGATAAATCTGCTTCCTGCACTGTAGCAACCCAGGCATCCGCGGACAATAGGTGTTGCACAACTTTTACTGTTCATTACTTTTAAATGTGAAAATAAAAGTATTCTTCTTGACATCTCATGTTTTGAAGTAGAAATGTCTTTGTTTACACAATACTAGCCAGTTTTACTTTGCGTTTCATTTATACATGTTCTCTCTGCAAGTATGCCTCTGTTCAGATGTCACAAATACACAGAGGTTTTTTGTAACAGACAATCTTGGCTGGTTATGCTACCACATTCTCTGGTTTCCTTCCCTCCCACATGGAGTGCAACTGAAAACTTCCTAGTTTTAGAGTACCAAGTTTGTGATCATCATAAATAAATTACTGCTTACGATATTGGGGTATGATACAAGAAGGCTCCCAGTGATGCGGAAATGTCCTTGTTCATACTTACACTTGAAGTCACCATAAACAAATGAATACATATCTGGAAATCAAATTACTTTCTGTTGTCTGCCCTTTTTGTGTGTGTGGCAGTCATATCACAGTTGACTTATGGCGCCCCTCCTGGGTTTTCAAGGCGAAAGATGGTTTGCCATTGCTTGGACCTACAGCGCCCCTCCTGGGTTTTCAAGGCGAAAGACGGTTTGCCATTGCTTGGACCTACGTCACCACCCTGGTATTTCTTGGTGGTCTCTCATCTAAATACTAGACAGGGCCAGCCCTATTTAGCTTCCGAGATCTGACAAGATCAGGCTAGCTTGGGCTATCCAGGTCAGGGTGTTGTCTCACCAGCAGATGTGAAACTAAACTGAGAAAACGGGAATGCTGGCTCCAGATAACAGCTCTCCTCAGTGACTGTAGGGCATAGAGTCACTGATCTAGACTGCACTAACACGGTTTTGCTAGTCTGTTTGCACAGGCACTGTCTCAGTAGCTCTTGGATATTGGGTACATTGATTCATCATACCTGTTAGTTACATGCCCCTGGTGTAAATGCCATTGTTAAGCATAACTATCAATAATGCACTGGGGTAAACCTTCATGAGATGCAAACCCTTGCATTTTTTGCTGAACTAACCATGGGATGCTGCAAAGTTCTTCAGAATAGCAAAGAAGTAAAGGGGTACTGTCTTGTGAATCTAACTGAAAGTGTCTTTTAGCAGTTGGTGATCTGCCTTTTTTAAGCCCTAAAGCTGGGGTATTCAGACCCAGAGGGAAAGATTCCTACAGAGCTGGAGAGGAGTCAACTCAAAAGAGTATACAAAATTTTGCTACAGTTCCCTATCTGTACTTATGAATGTAAATTAATAATTTTGAATAAATTTAAACGCCCATAGAAGTTAACGCAGTAACTGTCCATGCAAACATGGATTTCTATGGGGATTCAGATGCTGAATTTAGTGGCTAGGAAAGATGATGGTTAATGTTGAACTGCTGAATTTCCTGTGTGGAGCTGTCTGTTTAAAGAATAGTTCAGCCTACCATGGGTGAGAAAATAAGTGCTATTATAGCTTCTACCAAACATCTCATGATTGCTTTGTATTTGCTATCCAGTTCCTTTTTATATAGGTTCAGGCTGAGTTTGTTGCTTCAGAGTGCTTTTAAGAAGATATTTAGCCTATCTGTCATTCAGGCTAGTGTCACAAGTCATCCATGCAATCAGCTTTGAGAGAATTATCTTTAACTTTATGATTAAAATGCTTCTGGGCAGGGGACAAAGCAAAAAGTAGAACAGCAGTTAGCTGTGAATGTTTCCTAGAAAGCATTTGAGAGCATTTGAGATCCTTCATAGAATGAGATCATCCTCCCAAGAGAGGTGTGTACTCTGCTTGATAGAGTATGACATCAGTGCGTTAGCTAAGCAAGATGAGGTAATGCTTTAATCCTCTAGTGAAGCGGGTGGGTAGCAGCTTTGCCTTCTCAAGGGCTTCAATGCTTCACTACCATCAGTGCTGTGGAGCAGAAACAAATACAGCTGACAGAGCATGTCTCTGATGTACAAAATCATAATAGACGTCTGCTTATGGATGAATTTTTTGTGGTTCTTTGTTCTTTAAACGTGTATCCAACTGACTTAATTTCAAAGACAGTTTGTCTTTTCAAATGGGCTGTAATTACCATTTTTAAAGTAAGGAATGTTCTATTTCATTTTAAGCCTGTGCATGTATCTGATGTTCTGAGGAGCCACATTCTTAAACAGTTAAAAATACGGTGATAATCTTTATTCTTTGAGTTTTCTGGTCTTGCTACAGCATACACATTGTTATTGAAGCAGAGTTTCCGATAATGCTGTAAGCATTCCCTTTTCTGTTTCTTCTTTTATGATTTACAGCAGATCTAGTCCTCAGCATAACTACAGATCTAATGTTCCTTGAATCATTATCTATTAAACATTAAAACTGGATAATGCATTAGAATTGTGCTCTTATCTGATGCAAATTGAGGATCTCATTGTAAAGAAGTTGCCACTCCAGGGACTCACTCTGATAGTGCTCTTCATCCTGGCCGTGGGCTATTTGCTGCACAAAGGAGGGAACTCCACATTCAACACATAAACAGTTTTCTTTATTTACTAAATCCAAGGATGGAGTGGGTGAGCAGACAAGAAAACAAGGTAACAGTGCCGTACTCAATGCAAATAAAAGTCAAAATTACACAGCAGTTACCACAAGCAACAGCCCAAGCCTTCAAATGAATTCCTCATACAAGGCTCCTGAAGAGGGGTGAATTCCAAGGGTCTCTTGGCTCTCCTCCCATTTCCTACTTGGCTTTCTCTGTCTGATGACTAATGGCTGATAGTACTACACCAATTCTACTCCCTCTTTATCCATCTCACCTATTAAGCTATCTCAGCCTTAATTTGCCCCAGCTGTTACTACCATTCTGTGAAAGCAAAGGTTCTGGATGACTCAAACCATCTAAGGGGTTTACTCTACCTGCTACAGGGCCTAAAAAAAAGGAGGACATCATGAAAGGTTTGAACACTGCTGTCACACTTTACACTTGTGTTTGAACTAATTCATTTGATACTTGAGAAATTGATACCTAGTTTGGAGTTCCTTGTCTGATTATAGGGTTCTAAATCAGATTCAGGTTGATTATACTGGAGACAAAGCACTCAAACAGAACTTGTGGTGCATTTAAGAAATAATATGGAAAAGGTGCCCACTGTGATATTTTTTTCCTCTGTTTAGAATTAGAAGCTGCAATGATGGACACAAACCATATACTGAAATCATCACAGACTTTGACAGATGCAAAAAAAATCTCTGGTTCTGAAGGGTAAGTGTGGGTTTTGGTGGTAGTCTTTGTTTAGATTAATTGCTTCTTGCTGTTGGCAAAGGGTGTAGTCTCCAGATTACCAGGGCCCTTGGACAAGTGTCTCTATCCTTTTTTTTGGGGGGGGGGTAAAATAATTGGGAGGGAACTTATTTTACTGCCATACATAATTTTTATAATTTATAATGGTGCATAGAATTGTGCTATTTTGTACCTTTATGGAATTTACAAGTATAAAAGCCTGAGCTTTCTACAAGCAAATTACTACATTGAACTCTTCAACAGGGCTTCATTATAGCATATGCACATTATAGCATATTAATTGTGGACAAAATTAGTCACATCTAAGGAATATATTTCCTTGAAATCATGTGTTGTATGTCTACTATAGGAATTATTGTTAATGCTGTAGATTCTTACATTACAAAGTAGAACTTTGCCTTGAAAAACTTTTCTGTTATTTTGAAAGAGAAAATATTTCACAAGGTTTTTTGTTTTGTTTTTTTGCCTCAGTGCTCCTTTAAATTTCTAATTTTTCTACTGGGAAAACTGAAAAAAGTCTTTGAAGAGAAAAGGGATTCCCCCTCTCCCCAGCCAAATCTGTTCCGCACCCCCCACCATGGCCTTTACATATCTATTCTCTCACTAGACAGTGCAGTGGATTTTACCCCAATCCTTTCACTCCATTGATAAAAGTTTATTGATTTATTCATTTATTAAAATATTGTACTCCACCATGCTTTTTGGCCCACGTTTGGAGTCTTCTTCCAACTTAAGAGCTGCTTAAGTTGGAGGAAGAGCCACTTTGAAGTTGGATCAGCCCCATCTCCAGTATTTCGGTGACTTTATTTTCAGTTCTCTCAAATGTACAAGGCAACTAGTTTTTCCTAGCTGTTTCTTATTCCATGACTTCATAATAAATTTCTACTTGTGCAAAGCCCCATAGGTATAAATCAGACAATCAGTTTTACATTTAGCTTTATTCAACTGCTAAGATTCTACATTTTGCTTTGTCTTATTTCCTTATAGGAAGAGCATACCTGTCAGCAAATCTGTTGACTCTGTGATACAGGCAGATGAGAGTTACAGAATGGATCATGCAGAAATGGGGCTGTGTGTATTGGTCAACAATAAAAACTTTCATCCTGCTACTGGTATGGACTGCCTTTGCATTTCATGTGTGCACACATTCCTTAGTTAAAGTAAAAAGAATGACACACCCACCCAACTTCTGAGGTTCATAGAATCATAGTGTTGGAAGGGACCTCCAGGGTCATCTAGTCCAACCCCCTGCGCAATGCAGGAAATTCACAAATACCTCCCCCTCCACACCCACAGTGACCGCTGTTCCACACCCAGAACAGAAGATGACAAAAAACCCTCCAGGATTGATTTCTTACCCCAAAGTGACAATCAGCATTTCCCTGGGCATGTAAAAAAGGGCCACAAGAACTAAGTACTGAGGCCCTTCCTGCCCTCCCTCTCTTGTTCTGCCTAAGTTCACAGAATCCGCATTGCTGTCAGATGGCTATCTACCCTCTGTTTGAAAACCTCCAAAGAAGGAGAGCCCACCACTTCCCAAGGAAGCCTGCTCCACTAAGGAACTGCTCTGTCAGGAAGTTCTTCCTAATGTGTAGCCGAAAACTCTTCTGATTTAATTTCAACCGGTTGGTTCTGGTCCGACCTTCTGGGGCAACAGAAAACAACTCCACACTATCCTCTAGATGACAGCCCTTCAAGTACTTGAAGATAGTTATCATATCTCCTCTCCAGGCGAAACATGCCCAGCTCCCTCAACCTTTCCTCATAGGTCTTGATCTCCAAACCCCTCACCATCTTCGTTGCTCTCCTCTGGACACGTTCCAGCTTGTCTATATCCTTCTTAAATTGTGGTGCCCAAAATTGAACACAATACTAGGTGAGGTCTAACCAGAGCAGAGTAAAGTGGTACCATCACATCTTGTGATTTGGACACTATACTTCTGTTAATACAGCCCAAAATCGCATTTGCCTTTTTAGCAACCACATCACACTGCTGACTCATGTTCAGTGTATGGTCTACTAAGACCACTAGATCCTTTTCGCACATACTGCTGCCAAGACAAGTTTGCTCACCAAGAGATTTGCTGACTATCTTGCATTTGCTGGTTAATCATCCAACTGCATTCATTAAAATAATTTTTTGTAAAGATATTATGCATCCATTGTTTTCATTCCTGTTGTGTGTTCAGAATCAAATTGGTCTCATACTTTTAATTAAATTTTTGTGGGAGAGAAGTCTTCTGTCAACTATGCAGTTCCATATTTTATCAGTGTGAATAGAACTTTCCTGTGATGCAAACTGAAGAGCCAGTTTGGTGTAGTGGTTAAGTGTGTGTACTCTAATCTGGGAGAACCAGGTTTGATTCCCCACTCCTCCACTTGTACCTGCTGATGTGACCTTGGGTCAGTCACAAGCTCTGGCACAGCAGTTCCTGAAAGAGCAGTTTGTGTCAGAGTTCTCTCAGCCCCACCCACCTCCCAGGGTGTCTGTTGTGGGGAGGGAAAGGGAAAGGAGTTTGTAAACCGCTCTGAGACTCCAAGTGAAGGGCGGGGTATAAATCCAATCTCTTCTTCCTGCAATAACAGATTATTTTGGGAATTGAATTAACATTTTCCCCCTCTTAAATCTAAAGGGATGGCATATCGATCTGGTACGGATGCAGATGCTGCACGTGTTATAGAAACTTTCAGGACCTTGGGTTATACTGTCAAGCCATATAATGATCTTACCTGTAAACAGATGGTTGATGTTCTGCAAAATGGTGAGTAGCTACTTACTAGGCTAATTCTAATTGTGTTGAAACATAAAGTACAATAACCTAATTTAAAGGTTTAGTTTCAGTGTATCTTAGAAATGGGGAAACTGGCTATTAAATTAACTTTTGAGCATTCTACTTGTAAAGGCATCTTAATTACAGGGAGGGATTTATGGAGCAGTAGATTACATGCACACACAGGCATTGCTGTAGCATGCTCCACCACAACACAGACATACTGCTTTGGCACAGTCTGTCACCTGTTAGAGAGGAGAAGGCACCTCCCCCTGACCTTTTCTTTTTTTTAAGGGAATGTATGCATGCATCACTAATCACTGATTGCAGACCCAGCAGCAAGATGTCAGTTTTTTACCTCCATTCAACATCCTGCTATGTATGTAGATCCCAATCTAGAGAATGGGTTTTTTTTTTAATTAATGCAATGTGAATTCAATATACTGTTCAAAACTTAAATTGTTCCTCCGTCAAGAAGGGTGATAGATTCTGTACTTTTTTAGGAACATAATTAATTCTAGAAAATCTGTCTTATTATAGAAGAGGCTGTCCCTGCCTCATTTATCAATGGGTCATATAGCATTTTAGTAAGATTTATCTTAATGTACCTTATGGACAGAGGGACCTTATGGAGAATTTTAGGAATTGTGTTTGATCGTAAGTCCCAACTTATGTTAAGATGTTCAGTGGTTTGTAAGAGCACAGCAGAAGTCTCCTTGTTCTTCAATAGAGGCTAATAAGCCTAGTTCGAATACACATAGTATTGGGCTTTTGGTCACATTATGCACTGCTTATGGCTTCGTGCCTAGCTGCTTTTGATGCTGCTTGTCCCAGAGACCATCACAGCCACAAAATCACTTGTGGTGCTTTTGGAGAGGGCTTAAGTGCAGTCACCGCAACCAGTGTGGCCTGCATTAAGAAAAACAAGAAATGTGCTTATTTTGAAAATGAAGAATGTGATTAACTGAAACCATTTGGTCCACGGGGAAAACGTCAGATTGGTCTCTTGGATTTCTGACATTCAAATTCACTCTTTGTCTTCTTTTTTTAAGTTTCAAAGGATGATCACAGCAAGGAAAATTGCCTTGTCTGTGTCTTGTTAAGCCATGGAGAGGATGGTCTGATCTACGGTACAGATGGCCCCCTGGAGCTAAAAATGGTAACAAGCCTGTTCAGAGGAGATAGGTGCAAAACCTTAGCAGGAAAGCCAAAGCTTTTCTTTATTCAGGTAATTATACAAAGTGGTCAGATGGGTAGATTTGTAGTAACAGACTACACTGAAGTTGATGAAATGTTACATTGTGTATACATTTATAGAGTGGCACCTAAGAAGATACAAATATAGTCATTGGTCTACATTATCAGTTAACT